GATAAGTGTGCAGGAAAGCAGTGATGTGATCGTTCAACATGTTTATTGGTAGAGGAACGCGGGCTCGAACGCGAATTAGGCTGTTAAATATATCCGGATGGGGCACATAGCCAAGGCCGGGATTCATGCCCAGGGCGCTGTGGGCTCCGGTGAGCTTGGGGTAGTCACGTGACACTTCAAAGTACATGAACCAACTCATGTAAAAGAAGAAGAAGCCCGCAAGCAGGGCGTAGAAGACGAGGAAGTAGAGAAGACGTTGACAGTGGGCTCGTAGGGCAGATCGATTTACCATGCGCCAGGCAGGTAACTGGTACTGAGTTGGAACCTGTTGCTGCAAATCAGGCCCATTTGGAAGTTCAGTCGGCAGGCCGTTGAGTCGACGATAATTTGCGCACTTTCTGGCACTCATGGTCCGTTTGAACGTGCCAATCCTGATAAAATGAAACAGGGCAAGATTAGGCTGGCTACGCACACAAACATTTGTTGAGATTTCTGGCACCACAACCGCTGCAGGATGGCTGGTGCAGTTACTCGGTCGAGTGAAGGGGCGAACCTTTTTATAGGTATCGTACAAACTCAGTTGAGAGGATACTACCTTATCGACTAAATGAAAGAATCTGCTACTGTTACAAGCGACGGCATTTTAAAGTAGGGGAGGATTGCTCATTAGTTCTCTTTCCCCCAGATAGGTCACTGGAATATACAAACTCTCTCACGTCGTAAATATCTATTCGCTAAATTGCATGAAGGCTATGTAATCCGTTTCCTGACTTGAACATTCAACCAGACTCAAACTTCAAAATATCATTTCCATTTCAGTAGGCACAACAAGCTGACTGAATAAGCCAATTACTCCAAACGGGGTCCCCATGTCCTACATTATTTAGTTCGCTTAAAGTTAACCAACTGTGTGTTGTGAGAAATGGCCCAAATTCCCTTTGCAGATGTCCTCAAAAGTGATTAATTGGAAATGACATCAATGGCATGTGCTCGTTTTGCCGTAGTTAGAAAATGCACTCTGCCATAAAAAAACTTGTTGTTTTTTTCTAGAACAGCCGATAGCAAGAGTGAATAAGTCAACAACGCAGGCGTCGGAAAGATTTCAGTTTAAATCGATAAGAATATGTGAACGTGATCGTATTCCAGTTAGCCTTATCAAACGATACTGTTATGGAAGATTGTCTACCGACTTATGTAGGACGACTTCGAAAGACTGCGTGACTTACGCGATGTCTAATGCTCTTCTTAGTTGGGTGACATGTCAAGGATCACACAGTTGTCACAAAGCGGCAGACTATAGGCGACACACGTGTCTGAGACTCTACCTGGTACATGTGCAGCTAGTGTTGTAAATAATTACAAAATAATTAATAATTTACAAGTTTGTCGCCATTTCTAATTTCCGTAGTAATTAATTTATAAATTGAAATAGATCAGTGTACCCAGTATACTACTGATTGCCAATTGGCAACTTGCAAATATTGTGTGGTTGTCCTGCAGTGGCTGATGGATTTCGACGCAAATCTTTAAATTAAATTTTGCTTCCCAGCGCAACCGCCACGTCGATTATAGCAATGGCAGCCATCGACACCAATTCCCCATTGTCACCACCGCTAGGACCACCCCTGATGTCACATCAACAACCACCAGTAATGGACACTCTACTTCAGCTTCTTCTCATTGTGATCGCGCATTCATCGCCCATCTCGGCATGGGTAGCCGCTTGCGAATCCATCCAATTTTAGCCGGTGCTCCAGCGCCCGGAGCCCCGTCGGCCCAGTGTATGTTTTGCGTGGTCTGGCGGAACGGCGGACTTGGAATCAGACTGCAATGGCTCCTCCTCCCACTTAATGTAACCCTTTGACACCCCCACTTAGACGGGATCCCAGCCAGGCCCGGATGCAGGCTTTGGTGCGGCTCCGGCTGCGCCAGCTTTGTGCTCCTTATGGACTGGATAACGGCCGCAGCCTCGGCTGGAGGGGGAGGGGGGGCGAGAGAGTGCGTTAGGTGCATCGCAAAGCTTTTCTCACGATAATCTACCTCACGTGCAAGTCACCCTCCCTGCACCAACTTGCCCTGGTGCACACGGAAGACCTTGCTGGATACGACGGTTGGACTCGCGGTTACGGCCACTATTATAAAGTGCAGATTTAAACCGGCAAGCCAGAGAGGCTGTGGTTCAATTGTTAGATCGTTGATTTTCTAATCAACAGGCCCTGGTTTTGAGCCTCGGCGGATGCATCAACCGATTTTGTGTGTGGCTGGCTGGTGAAGGGTAGTAGGTCAGGGTAACAATAACTTATAGGCAACACCATAGAACCCACAAAGTCCAGAATTTTGTAACAAGGAACCGGTGGTAATATGAGTTTTCGAGGTTACAGTGCCTTGCTTTAAAAAGCAAAGCACCTACAACTGTTCCATGCAGCAGGATTTTAAATCCTCTTCCCCTATAGGACACTGGAATATTAAAACCGACTGACGTTGTACAGGTACCTTATCGCTAATTTGCAGGAAAGCAAAATATTCCATGTCTTAACTCAAACATTCAACCTCACCCAAACGTTAACCGTAACCCCAGTAGTTAATTCAGTACAAACCTGGCGTTTCTCCTAACTGTAATTCCAGCCCTACCTTAACCTTCCTTTCCATGCCTGTTAACGTAAAGCGATCTGTAGAACGCGAAATTCTTGCCCCCATGTCTTGCCGGGAGCATATAAGCAAGTCCTGCCTAAAAGGAGGGGGAGATAAAACTGCCCACTTAATTGACAAGGGATTGCAGCAGTCTCAAACTGACCAAGTGTAGCCGCGCCAGCTGTATGCACTTTAGCCCGCTTCCGTTCACGGCCTTGGCTGGAGGGG